TAAATTTTCGGACCTAGTCTCATAGACCTTTGTTTTCAAATACCCCCAGTAAAAGAAGTCTAATGGGGTCAGATCTGGTGATCTCGGTGGCCATTCTATTGTGCCTCTTCTACCAATCCATCGATCAGTAAAAACATCGTTGAGAATATTTCGAGCTTCCAGAGAAAAATGAACCGGAACCCCATTTTGCTGAAACCAAACATTGTGGAAAGCTTCTCCAGCAATATCCTGAATAGCCGGTATCACTTGGTTTTCAAAATTGCAATAATTTTGAGAATTTATGTTTCCTTCAATAAAAGGTCCTATAATACGATTAAACATTATTCCGGCCCAAACGTTAACCTTCTGAGGATACTGTGTATGACTGTTTCTAATCCAATGCGGATTTTCATCTGCCCAATACCTCATATTCTGTTGATTTACAGAACCGTTTAATTCAAATGTTGCTTCGTCAGAAAAACAGATCCAGTTGAAAAACTGACGATTATCAGCGGGTCGTGTCATCATTGTGTCGCAAAATTCCACTGCTTTTTCAAAATTCGATGGACTGATGTTGTGAATATCATTTTCTTGAGCTGCTCTCGAGACCGATGTATGGGGATTATCGTATACAGTTAGCAGAACATCTAAACCTTTTTCGTCATTACTAGCATTTTTGGGTCTTCCAAATCTAGGCGCATCTTTAATTATACCGGTTCTTTGGAAACGACCAACAGTTCTTTCAACAGATGATTTTGAAATTGGTTCACGGTCAGGATATGTGGCATTGAGTAAATCCGCTATTTCTCGATAGGACTTTATTTACCCCCACCCCCCACACACACACACGCGCGCACGCACACGCACGCGCACACGCACGCACACACGCACGCACACACGCACGCACACACGCACACGCACACGCACAAACACACACACTCAGGAACGCGCGTGTCCGGGTAAAGCCCTATCTTTCTTCTGTTGTCGCCATGAGCCCTCGCTATCGCAAAATCTCAATAGAAATGTTCAAATAATCATAACTCTGCAAAAAAAAATCGTAGAGACCTCGGCGACCTCGCGTTGTTTTCGTCTCGGAAAGCCCTTTCGAACGAAAGCCCTCACTCAACTCCACATGCCATTTAAGATTTTTTGGCTCCCCCCTCTCCCCGTCCTCCGCGGGTGTAGAAGTGGGTGTTTTTGTGGTTAAATAATAGACTTTGTGATCCCATTGTATCCCTATAAATTTCAATCCTATATTTCAAACCATTCAAAAATTATTTAGGTGGCCAGGAACTTTTGGTAGGCACTGTATAAGCTATATTATTGATGCCCGCAAAAATTTTCAAAATTTTAAGAAAAATGTGAACATATATATGTATATATTTTACATTTTACCATAAATCACAAAAATTTTTGAAAATTCATGTAGGAGTGAAGCGTGGGGGGGATTTAAGACGGCAGGAGGCACGAACCAAGCATCCATCTCTTCCGTGGCAGCGGCACTGTCGTGTCTGTGTAGGGCGTTTACACACTTCCTCAGCCCGACAAATAATTGTTAGAAAACAACATTTGCGGGTCTGAAAAAATACGCGAGGTACAAGTGGCTGAATCGGGAATCGAACCCGAGTCTTCTTAATCTTCCTTCTCTCTTTTTCGTTTGCGTGGCGACATTTATATGGATCTTTCTTGGACTCGCCTGTGTGGAGATCGCTTTTCGCCTTGGAGATCTCTTTGATGGCGAGATGAGTGACGGAACTACCACTGAATGGTCGGCGTTGAACTCCTTTCCTTGACGATGTTTGGGGTTATTGGACGGTCGTCCTTCCCTCCTTTTACGGTAGATAACTAAATGTCGCAGGGTTTCGACAAACTAGCGCCGGTTACTGGCAATCTAGCGCCGGATACTGGTCGTTTCATGGAGAGACCACTAGCGCCGTATTTCGACGACTTAGCAATGGAAACGAGGTATCTAATATTCAGACCTCACACCTTACGCCACTTTAACACAGTACATACGACTCCAGAGCGATGTTGGAATCACGCTCCATGGATGCAGTGACGATTGCCACGGAGAGACGACATCTCCAGCACGCCTCCAGAGCGGTCCAATCATATTAAACGATTGAAAATTGGCCCCCGTAGCCACTCAGCGATGAGTCTTGACTCGTCACCAGTATGAATGGAAGCCTCCTCGAGTAGTCCATCCTAAACCACTACGCCTAAGCAGCCCCCTCTTCTGCTCCCAATTAATAATATGATCATCCACCGTCACCACGTGGTGGATCTAGTGGACAGATTACCAGCTTTTACGCTGACACAGACGTACACCGCAGAGTGAAGCGAGGGGGGGATTTAAGGCGGCAGGAGGCACGAACCAAGCATCCATCTCTTCCGTGGAAAATTGATTAACGGTTTATCTTCTTATTCATAAAGATACTTCATTGATGCTGAATTCGCCATACATGTGCGAAAAAACCCGAATCGTCTAACAACAATGTGGATGGATCGTGTGTATAGCGATATAGAGGTATTTTTAGCTTATTTCTGAAAAATGTATTTTCATACAACATTATACAACATTATTATATATGGTCGAATTTGGCATTAAATACGCTTTAAGTTTGCTATAAGACAAGGTAATTTTAAAATTTAATAAAATTGGGGGGGGGAGGAATTTCTCTCTCTCGAAAAATATAACATTTCTGAAAAATCTAATTGCATTATTGTAAAGTACATTAAAAACTATAAAACTTTTCTTTGCAACCTTTTTTATATCTTTTACCGTTTTGGACGGTATTCGCTAAGAAATATAAAAACCAACTTTTTTCAAGAGGATGTTTCATCCCCTTAACGGTTATAAAAGTGCGTATAAAAATTATGTCTTATTTCAATCTAGACTACAACATATTCAAAGCTCATCTAAGTCGGAGGACATTTCCCTTGTGAGATTGGAGTTGATATTTTATCGGACAATTCGTCGTTAAAGATATTATCTATGCTGTTATTGATGTCTATATTGTATACAACATATGTACAAAAAAAACGTACTAATTAATATATTTTACGAAGGAGATAAAAAGCAATCAAGAGCCAGCGCGGTAATTTGTGCGCATGTTTTATTACAATCAAATAACATTGATATTTTAACTAAATGATAGACACAATCACAAAAAGCGTACGTTTTGGTCCCCTTTTTGGACCATTTTCAGCGTAATTATAAAGTATGTGGAATATATTATATAAAAAATATAATAGTAATAATACGCAGTCTCGAACATCTGTGTGTAACATTTGCCTTTTGTGCAACATGGGTGACTCACTCAAGTTCGATATATTTGTATTACCAGTTGTTTTTTTAATGTAGTATATTTTATCGGACAATCTTTTTCTTCCACATTTACCTTCCGACAACATGACTCACTCTTGTTCTGCATATTATTACTATTATATTTTTGATATAATATATTCCATATACTTTGTAATTGCACTGAAGATGGTCCAAAAAAAGAATCGAAACGTATGTTTTTTGTGATTGTGTCTATCACTTAGTCAAAATATCAATGTAATTTGATTGTAATAAAACATATGCGCACAAATTACTGCGCTGGCTCTTGATTGCTTTTTATTTCCTTCGTAAGATATATTCATAAGAGTCTTTATTACATTAATATATTATTCGAGAAAGCTAATATGAATTGAATAATGTAACATATTAGAATACATATATGATAAATTATTATTGTTATTAATTACGAGAAAATCAATTATAATGTGTTACAGGACCTTTACAGGATTTAAATCATCCATTTCATTTACACGGTTATAGCTTTTGTGTAATGTATGCAGGGCAATTTGTTAATGCACTTAATAAAAACGATATAACAAATAAGGATGTAATGAAAGAGATGGAAGCTCATATGACACGCTTACAAAATGGTTATTATACACATTGTAGTCCTAAAGATACTGTAATTGTACCAAATACTGGTTTTACCATCTTACGCTTCAAGGCAGATAATCCAGGTTGACATAATTTCTCTACATACAATTATATTTTTCAATTCTGTAAAAAGCTTATATTATTATAAATCATATAAAAAATTACAATTTTGAAATTATGATTTTTACTAATAAACTGGATAATATATATATATATATATATATAACACTACAAGAAAGTATTTTTTTATCATGTACTTTTCGAATTATAAGGCTTGAAAAATACAGTACTGCCGGCATTAGCATTACCCAAAGTGTACCACGTGTAGGTTGCACGGTCGGAATTACACCTCTGTTGTGTGTGTGTTGTGTGTGTGTGTGTTATGCAGAAATCAGGACCCCGTGATTCGTCATTTTCACGGTATTTAATGACTCCAAACTCTCTCTGTCGTGTGTGTGTGTGCGTGTGTGTGTCAAATACGAAGGTTGACCTTGACTTTGATCTAGGGGTGAAATATGGAGGTCATTTGAAGGTCAACTTAAAAATTTTTTATGGAAACCCCTACTTTTGACACCAAAAATGAAAAGGAAGGAAAATTATTAAAAAATGCCTTCAGCCGATTAAGGCAAGACCGGGACTGATCCAGCCGATTAAGTCAAAATTATCTAGTCAGAATTAGTTATTGTATGGCTTATGACCTTAACAAGTGTTCAAATACCTGTCCATTATTATCTATGCATAATTGAACTCGACGTTCAAAACTGTCAACTGTCGATAAAAGTATATTTTTCGGAATGCTTCGGCAGGCAATAGTTATGCGCTCCATCATATTCTCTCTTGTTGTGGGTGCTGTTGAGTATACAATGTTCTTCAGGTATCCCCATAAAAAGAAATCTAAATTTGTCAAGTCTGGAGACTTAGGACACCATGACACTGGTTCACCGCGTCCTATCCATCTACCTGGAAATTTGAGATCCAAATGATGTCTAACTCTCCTACTCCAGTGTGCTGGAGCACCATCCTGTTGAAAGAACATACGTAGTTTTGTTTCTAGATCGATATCTTCAAGCAATACCGACCTTTAGCCGCGTCTGATAGTGTACGTGAGCACTCCGTCGTTATGGCGGCGCACACTACCAGGCGGGCGTCTCACCTACGTGCGTCCGGCTAAAAGTCGGCGCTAATTTGTGTGTGTGTGACCAGACTTTACTCAATAATAACTCCTATATTAAGCGTTATAGAAAAAAATGTTACAGGACTTTTCTGTTCAGTTTACTGTGATCTACCCGCTCCTTTTACTCTAAGTTTTATATTTTTGTACTTTGAATAGATAATTGATCAGGAATATTATTTATTTTTCAGGCTGGTGGTTCTTTCATTGTCATTTTTCATGGCATACTGCAACCGGAATGAATGTTGTCTTACATGTTGGTACGTCATATGATCTTCCACCTGTACCACGTAACTTTCCAACGTGCAACAATTGGATACCACAAAATTAATTTATTAAATTCTATACAAGAAATAAAAATTTAAATAAAAGTTTATTCTTAATATTAATTAAATTTTTAATTTTATTGTCAGTTTCTTGAAATGTATAACATATTATATGTAAAAGATGTGAATAAATAATAAGCCAATAAATACATTGATGCATATTAGTAAAAGTTGCTTATTTGTGTAATAAGGGATTGTTCGTAATTAGCCACGTAGCGGCTAAATTATATTTATTGTAACGCGTGTATTATACAGCTTTCGTACTGTTACGTCCAGACTTGAGGAAAGATGAGTCAGTGGAAGGGCGCAACCACTATCTTTACGATTCCGAAGTTAAACGTCTCGAAGCGTTAGAATCGGGTCGAACGAACTTGACGGTCCGAAAATCAGGTAAACGACCGTTAGGGTCGCTATTACTCTGTTTTTCGGAAGTTCGCTCGGCGGTCCCTTTTTGGTAAAAGAATTTAATCTCTATTACGCGGGATGGGACCAGGTGCGATCTTTTGACTGGGGAAGGAGAGGGGTTGTAACAAGCCGCTTTCGCGAGGCGGTGACGGATAACTCGGTCCAATGAGGCAAGATTCTATTATTAATATTGAATTTCTGACTGGTCATTACAAAATATCTGTTAGAAAAAGAAAATAAAACAATTTGTGTGAGTGAGAGTGTGTAGGAATATTAGGAGGTTGATTTCGTAATTCTAGGATTGGTATGAGGATTCGTCATCGAGATTTGGGAGTTCATTGCAGAACTCTTCCAGTTCTCTCTCGAATTCGTCAGATTCAAGAGGGGAAAAAGGAGGGAGTGGAGATTGATAGCAGGATTCGTCCTCCAAATCAGGGAGTTCATTGCAGAAATCCTGCAATGCCTTCTCGAACTCGTCTAATTTGGAAGGAGGAGAAGGAGGGGGTGAATCATCAAGGATGATCGTTGACAACGAGGAGAACGACCGAGGGGAAAGCGGCAGTTCGGGAGAAGGTGGTTCCGAAGGATATATTGGAGAGTAACTAGGGGAGTAACTCGGGGAGTAGTGATAGGGGGAAAGAGGAAGGGTTGTGTGTTCAGTGGCTGTGTCTATGTGTGTTTTTACTGAGTAATCACTACTACTACTACTGGCTATGGTTAATTTTAAGTCTACAGAAGTTCGCGTCTTCTGATTCGCGAAACGGACCTTTGCAGTGGCGGGTTGGAATTCGTAATTTTTTTCCGATCTGGTTCTCACTATGGAACCAGTGACAACGTTATTTATTGCGGGAATAAAAATGTAATTCAACTGAGTTATTAAAGACTTACGTTTGTTGCTGACTTTTGATTAGTAGGTTGAGTAGATTGCCAAAACTTGTCGTCCTTCGCTAGGATATAACGCTGTGCGGATGCCGGGTTGCCCTGGAGACGACGCCGAGAAGAGGACACTGATATTGAACTGGTCACTCTTTTTCTAATTGCGAGGTTTAGTCTTTATGGGCGCACACGAGACTGATTGCCCGGTACTTATTGATATTGAAAGAATGAATGAATAATAAGTTCTCGAGTCTTACGAGTTCTTTCTTTTATAATTCCCTTTTTGAGGGCGTCTTCTAATTTTTTAGAGTGGGATCTTCCAAAAACTTTAACGAGTTGAAATTATGCCAAAGTAGGGATTCTTCAAGATTTTAACAAATTAGAATCGTGCCAGTGTCCTCATTCGGCAGGGGGTGTCTCCTATTTTCATATTTTTACCCGTGCTGATCGTCGGTTGGTGAGTTCGATATTAGTTCAAAAGTTCCTTAAACATTAGCCTTTCCGGGGGACCCTCGCGCACATGATCTGATTAGAAAAGGGTTTTACTTCCTTATAATTATTTTTGTCAACGTTGATGCAGCTGTGTTTATTACTTGTCCGTTAGAAAATTATTATCAGTATTAATGCGGCTGACAATGAGTTTATTAAACATTTCGTTAAAAGTTCTTGTTATCTCCTTGTTCTTCCGCCGGAAATTCTACTGCAAGGGGTAGCTGTTATTTTTTATTTATCTCGAGACCGGCATGGTTTCCATCACCAATTTCCTTGCGTCTTTCCCATGGATACTCGTGGATGTAGTTACTGACAAATGACAGTGTTTAAAAGAAACGTATGGCACAAGATGCTTTGTTTATTGAACGATTCATTCTTATCACCAACTGACGATCGTTACCGCAACGTCGCGGAAGAAAGAAATCGTGGAGTCGCCAGGACGTAACAATACTCTGCTAAATTGCTATCTCACATGTTACAATATACAGTGTACAAATGGCATTACATATATACAGGGTGGCCCCGAACGTTCCAGCCAGACTTTGGGATCTTATAGGAAATTTAATCCTGAACAAAAAATTTCTTATAAATATGGATCGAAAAATGCTTTCTTAAGGGGTTACATACCTTTGTCGCGCGCAAGAATGGCCAATTTTCGGGAATTTTTGTTTTCAGTAAATAATGCAGTAATCAATACAGAGTTTTTTTATTTTATTTGTTATATATTTGAGTACATGTATATAAAAAATTATTAAGTTTCATAAAAAATTGTAACTTTTATGGCAAGTTGCATGCACCAATGATGAGCGTTCATGATCCTAGTGTCTGCATGATTTTGCATTGTAGGTTAGTTCGATCTGAAAAATAAAAATATTTTCTTATAAAGAAATGTTATAGTTACGATCTATCGAGGGGAATTTTTTTAATTTA